CCATGTTCAGGGGTCTGGATCAGTCTTGTACTGGCCTCCCGGACAGCGTCTGGGGTCGATGTGCTCTCCCTTGTTCAGGCCAACTGTCCATAGAAACAAAAAAGACACCTGTTGCTCAAAGAAACAGGTGTCTTTTTTGTTTCTATGGATCCTTACAAACCATCTGTCCTTTTAACTTTGAAAGCCCTGAGCTCTTGTCTTTAGACTTTACCATCTAATATTTTTATCAATAGTTCCCATCTAAAACCTCTTTCCTGTCTCTCATTTTTATTTGTTAACTCTATCATCTGGTGTGCTGTGTTTATTTCCTTCTTTATTCCTATATTCAATCTGGTCAGTTGTTTCTGATCCATCCAACAACCTGGTATTATAATATTTTGAGTTTTTCTCTTTTTTTGCAGATTTTTTTATTTGAATTAGAAACAAGATTGTTTTACATGACAATCCCAGTTCCCTTCTCCCTCCTGTCTTCCCCTACCACCCCCTGCAACTAAAACCCTACCTATCACATATCCTTTCTGCTCCCCCTGGATGGTGAGGCCTTCCATAGGGAGTCACCATAGTCTATCGTATCCTTTGGGATAGGGCCTAGGCCCACCCCAGTGTGTCTTTGACTTCAACAGCTCCCATTTCAGCCATAATCCTTGCACTGCATTTTGGAAAAGAGGGATCTAAGGGCATATGCTGGTATCCCAGCTATCAGCCTGGGGAGCAAGAGTTCCCCGATGTTCAGGTCAGCTGTTTCTGTGGGTTTCACAAGCCTGGTATGGACTCCTTTGCTCTTCACTTGCCCTTGTCTGTATCTGGATTCCAGTTCCAAAATCTTTATGGGGCAGCTCACAACTTCCAGCTTCAGCTTTAAGAGATCTGACACCCTCCTTTGCCTTCTGTGGATACCCCTACACATGTGATATACACTCACATAGACACACCACACACACAAATAAAAATAAAAGCAATTTGAGTTGCATTCTCCCTCTTAACAAAGGAATTGTTTTACTTGTATGTTGATAAAACTAATACATGGTCATGAAAACGTGGTTTAAAGAAGAAAATAAACTCCTAATCCTACCAAACCAAATGGCTTCTGTTACACCATTCTTGTGTGATAGCCTTATGCAGATAACTTCTGGACATACACATTTCTATTTTCTTAGCTAAGACATCCTGTACTATGTATACACATAGTTGTATTTATTACAACTTATAAGCACAAAAGTGCTTTCTGAACATTTTTGTATTAAATATTTAAATTATTTTAAACTATTTTAATAAAATTGTATCCTGAGGTACACAGTCATAAATTTAGATAAACAAATGTTATTGCATTGCTTTGCTTTATCGTGGCTCTGTGATTCTCTTTCTATCATCTGTTGCGGTATTGGTTGCATCAGGTAGGTCTTCTGCCTTCCCATGCATTCTTTTGGCCTGCCCAGGTAAGTTGCAGTATGACCATGCTTTTGGCCTGTAGAAATTCCTTGGTCTCTGAAAGAGGGAGTGTGCTGATGATAACAGGAACATTCCACATTCTTCTGGCTATTTTCTTACTCTGAGGTCTAGTGTAAATCTAACTGTTCACACTAAGGTGAGACAGACTTCCTTCGAGTGCTGGAAAAGGCATTGACTGAGTCTTAGTTATGATGGTGTGATCATGTCTACATTCTTCTAGATTTTTACTATTTCTACAGTCTAGGTTTTCTAAATGTTATGATGGGAAGTCAGGGGTAGTCGAGCAGACCCAGCTGTCCATTAGTGATAGCAATAGGGTCTCTCTCTGGCAGTTACTGTAATTCTTGTTTTCGGGGGGGGGGGTATCTTTCTTTGTAGACAACATTGTAATTTTACAGTTGAAAAAAATAAAAAGAAATATATATTCATCTTGGTCTCATCAGGCTATAAATATTTTGTTCCCCAAGGATTCAAGATCAAGAAGAGTTTATTGTGAACAGTCTGGATCCTTTGTTATCACTATATTTGGCTTTTTAAATGAGCTACTTTCACAAAACAGTGACCAAAGCACTGACAGAAACAACCTAATGCCAGAAAAGCTTATTTGACTCTCAATTTCAGAAAGTTTTAGCCCATTCTGTGAGGCAAGTGTGGTAGTGGCTTAGTCCACCATGGAGCAGGGGTGAGGGCGGTTCTCATCCCATTAGCCCAAGTCCCTGTGGTAACCTGCAGGGTCCACCCTGAGGCTCTATTTTAATCAGCCAGACCCTGTCTCCTGCAAGGGCCAAGGCCTCCCAAAATAGAGCTATCAGTTGGGAAACAAGTGCTCAAAACATGAACCTGTTGGGGCGTTTTAGATTCAGACTATAACTGTATAACATGTTTCTCCTTCCACCTTATGGCCTTGAAGAAAGGCTCGGCCCTCACCAGCATGTGGCTTTATTCTCAGATGCAGAGTTGAAGATGATGGGTTTGCTATAGATAGCCTTCAGTGTGCCTTCCGGCTTTAAATTGATTTTTTTTCATTCTTAGGAATTTAGCTAGCAAAGAGGCAAAGATATGTTTTACTCATTCATCATTGCTCTCCTTTGGTGCTACTCATTACATTATGTAGGACTTCAAGGTACTCTTGCAGCTATTTTAAGTTACCAGTTTTGATGGAAAAAGTGCCTCAGTTCTTAGCATTTTGAGGAATGGTGAGTTGATCTATTCTAAGAAGTACGACCCAGCACTACTGCTCATACAGACAATGGAATTTGGCATAGACTTCTTTATACTTGGTGATTCTCAGGTATCAAACAACATTACATAACAACCTTCCTTTGCAGTAGTTGTGAAGATTTAAAACAATATTGACTGTATCACTATAATTCTTTCAGGAACATTTCAAATCTAAGGTCTGTATTCAAATTTGTCTTTCCCTGATACATCTCTTATCACTGTGGATCATCACTAAAGCTTGATACTTCAGTTCCTCATTTGCACCATAGAGAGAGAAAAAAAAAACAAAACATATTGGTCTCACATGTTTGTTGAAAAGTTCAGCCTGAGTCTATAAAACAGTTATAATTATGCTCTTTTTGTAAATATTGATCATTCTTAGTATAACATTGCCTTTATTAAGGCAACTTTCCTCCCCAAGGCACGAGTTAAACCCAACATTTCATTAAAACAGTACCACTTTCAGCCTGCAAATACTTTATTTTAATGGTTCTGATCTTCTCTTAATCGACAACCTGGAGTTCTGTCTTCTCATGTCTTTAACTTTCTCCGTCTATCAACAGGGGCGAAGAGGTCTTGGCTCTGTGTTTGTCTGGGCATCTGGCAATGGTGGAAGGAGCAAAGACCACTGTTCTTGTGATGGCTATACCAACAGCATCTACACCATCTCCATCAGCAGTACAGCTGAAAGTGGAAAGAAACCATGGTACTTGGAAGAGTGTTCATCTACACTGGCCACAACCTACAGCAGTGGAGAATCCTATGATAAGAAAATAGTACGTAACTTTTGAGTGTCTATTACTATCAATTTCTTTGGTGTTCCCATTGAAAGATAAAGAGAGATCCATAAATGTGTAGAAGTAGCATATGAAAACCACAGTTCAGATTAGCTGATGATACCAAATAAGTCACTGTAAACATTAACAGTCTATTACTGATTCCTAGAAAATGCTTGTCTGGATCGTGATATTTGAGTATTAGCATAGCTTTGATCATAATTAAGCTTCAGTTTAATTAAGAACAAATGATTGGTCTACATTTACATTTATAGTGGCAGAATAAAAACAAGAATCAACATGTGATTCTCAGCTTAGTGCCCCTTTCGCTGACTTTTGATTCTGGTGTGTCATGTAGCTAATTCATTGTGAACAAAAAGTCTATAAGAAAACTGATGATCATACTATAGATGTATGTTTGCTTATCTGTATCCATGGACTGTACATCTACAGACCAACCAACCACACCACATTGAAATTACCTTGAAGGTATTTTTTAGTAGTCTTTATTCAGTAAACAGTACAGTATTACAACTATGTACAAAGCACTTGTGTTATTTTGTGTTCTAAAGGGATCTAGAGATTGGGTAGTGTCTAAGGAAGGATGTGAGACATAGATATGCAAGTATTATGGCATTGTATTTCATATTCAGGACTTAAACATTCTCAGATTTTAGGGTTCCTGAAACCAGACCTTTGCAGATACCAAGGGACTGTATTTAACCAATGTGTACTAACCCTGTGCCAACTGTGCTTTTCTGAGTCTACTGTAGTCTTCTAAATGGGGAATTATGCAAGTATGGTGGCCTCTCCTGTTCACTACCCTGCACTGCTATCTTGTTGAAGAGCTAAAGGATTCAGAATTCAGGTTACTAGTTTGGCCTACCTGAGTTTGTGTCACTTGAGCCATTTACTAGATCAAAATCCTTCCTTATATGTGAGGGCTTAATAGTTTGTAGTTCATGGAGCCGTTGCTGAAATAATTGGGGGAGACACCAGTCAATGAAAGATGCAGGCTAGTGCTAGCCCTTCTCAGTGTCTGTGGAAGCTGACTCTTAGAACTCCTACCACAGCTTTGCTCATTCTAAATGTCAAATTCCATTCCTCTTCTCCTGACCATGGTTTTGTGAAGTGCTCAGGACTTATCTTTCGAATGCCCAGCTGAGCTGTTGTACCTGATGTTTGAGAAGCCACAGAAGAACAGGTCACACTGTGGAGTGACATCTCATTTTTCAACAGCAGTAGGGGAGCCACTGCACATTCACTGTGCCAACCCCCAAATCCAAAACACTAAATCCAACAGCTAGGTAACACTGGTATGACCCCACATTTCAAGACTATTTAAAGCATAAAAATCATTTGAAGTATGTACAGTTATAGACAAGCTGTATATAAACATGAAGCATAAAGGAATTCTAGTTCCCAATATAGTTCATTCTGTTCAGGCATCCCAAAATCTGAAGAAAAATTCTATAGTCCAAACCCCTCAGGTTCAGAGTATTTGCCTCCATGTGAAATTAATTTATAACTATTAATCTTCTGTTAATGGCTTGTTTATTATAAGATTTTTATGTTTGATTTCCCAACTGTTTTTTTAGTACATACTTTAGCTACATTTTAAAGATTTCCCAATCTTTTCTTAATTCCTCCCCAAATGTCTGGATTAAAAAATATTTACAAGTCTGGGGATGGAAAGATGGTTCAACAATTAAGAAAACTGGTTGTTCTTCCAGAGGAGGTTTGGTTCCCAGCATCCATATAAACAGCTCACAATCATGCCATCCCAATCCCAAGGTGCCTTCTTCTGGCCTCTGTGGACACTTCACACGTTGTACATAGACATACATACATTCAGGCAAAATACCCATACACATAAAATAAAAATAAAGTTGTATGTATACAAGTCCATTTCTCAGTACCTCCTCCATCATCTATCAATGAACTGACTCTAAACACAAAGTAAGGAGAAAGTGCAGCGATGAGCAAGACAAGATGTTTCTGTCTTGTTGACTTTATTATACAACTGTAAACATCTGTATATGCCTTTTTGCTTTTCAGTAGGAAACTGTGTACCCCCTAGCTTGTCACCCCTGACTTTCAGTGCCCCGTGATGCCCGTCTGTATCACAAAGTACCTGAGAAACTCAAGAATGAGATTCCCAAAATTTAGCTCTAGAGTTTGAGGATCTGCAGCAAGTTCACACTTGCTCCCAAGCATCTTGTGACCTGGCCAGTCCTGTTGTTCCCTGTGGCACCACTGCTGTGGGGATGGTATTGATAAGTTCCACAAATGTCTTATCTAAAAGAAGCTTGTACTCAAATGGACAAAATATCAAAACAGGAGGAAGTATGCCCCACATCTCTGATGGAATGCATCACATGATAAGGGCAACAGTTTCTCATTACAAAAGAAAAAAAAAAAAAAAACCGAATTCATCTCTACATTTTCTCCTTCTCTCTACCTAGTTCTTCAATTCTTTTCTTTTTATCTGCACCCTCAAAATACCCACAATTTGGTATTTGGAAGAATTTGAAGAATTTGGAAGCTATTCTGACTTCTTACTGACCTGGTACTAAGCCACCCACTCAGTCTTGACCTCCTCAGCTGTAAAATTGAGGTGACACTCACATGGCCTCAGAGATTGCCATGGGAGAGTAAGAAACCAAGGACAGTAACTGCCTGAGTCTGAGTGCCTGGTGTGCATATGGCTCTGTTAGTGGCCCTCATCATTGTCCTTGGGCCTGTGCAGCCTTCAGCATCCTGAAAGGCTAGTTGGTCCCATCTCCTTTCACAGAGTTTCTTGTTGCACCTTCATTTTTCCAATCCATAAAATTCTGTGGTCTGTTCCACCAACCCCATAAAGAAAGCCACTGTGATTAGGAACATGTTAACAGCCTGAACTTGAGTGGAATTGGCAGCAGCATCAGAATTTTATGGTCCAGCTGACCCCCTTTCCCTCCAGATGTCAGGATGACGAATAAGCCCACAGTGCGCCCAAGACCTTGCCACCACCAGGCTTTGAACCTAGACTCCTGTGGTCTCTGGGTGATGCCTACATCCTGTTACTGGCATCTTTGATTGAGTGCTAAGGGAGTGGCAGTGTCTTCTTTGTACTGGGCCCCTTCCCTGAGCCATTCATTTCCTTCTGTCATTTGCTGTCTCTCCAGAAAAGCACAGTTGTCATTCTTCATTCCTAAGAGCACCTTTGTGATTTGAACCCAGACAGCTGCTGAGAATCTGAGGGACAGGAAAGATTCTCGTCTGCTTCTGGGAAAGCACTTTGTTAAATAAACTTTACATATCTGGGACAAAAGGTCTTTTCATGATCTGCAAGCAGACAAGCTTGCCCTGGGTTTCAAAGTATAGTGAGGACTGCATACCTACTTGTCCTGCCATTACTAGTAACTTAACAGTGGGTGCTGGGATTATATTCACACTCTCATAGACTTGGGACCTTGTTGGACTCACAGCTTATCCCAGCAAATGAAACATTCAGAATGTCAAAAGCCTAACAAGAAGCTCTTTTCTAAACAAAGTGATCAGGAATGACTATTGTTTGTTTGTAACAAAATCTCATTTAGCACAAGCTGATCCCATGGTCCTTCTGCCTCAGCCTTCCAAGTGCTAAGATTTCTGCCACAACCGCTAAGCCGTTATGTTTTAAGATTTATTTTTATTATTTTTAATTATGTGTACTCTGAGGGCTGTGTGTCTATATATTACTTCAGGTGCCCTAATATAATAGTGAGCCACCTGACCTGGGTGCTGGGAGCCATACTCAAGGCCTCTGCTAGATCAGTATACTCTCTTCACCACTGAGCCACCTCTCCAGCCCACCCTGACTAGCTAGTTTAAAGCCATGACTTGAAGTAATGTTTTTGTCAACATAATTGAATACATAATATTCTGTATCTCCTGTGACACATTTACAGTTGCCATAACATGTCATAAACATAGCATTTGTGGTCTTTCTAATGAGGATGCTGCATGTTGGCTGCAACCTTTCATGATATCATGAAAACCCTGTGGACAGGGACCATCTTGTTCAATTCACAAACGAGAAAGCAGAAACTTGAAAGGCTAAGAAAAGAAAGCACATAGCTGGTCTGTTGGGGGTGCCTAGATTCCAGTCATGCAGAATGAAGCCCAAGCCTGGATGTCATCAGTGTGCCATCATGCCCCCACACTTGTCAGGGCCATCCAGTGTGGAGCTATGTTAGAGATGTGTGGCTGCTTACCTGGTGTTCTCTTAATAGCTGCTTTCCACCACCTTGCTCTTCCTAATTGAATTTCTGGCCTCTACCCTTTGCATCATCTCCTTAGTCAGACATACAAACCTGAAGCTGCGTTAGCAGCAGACTCTCAAGATGGTCCCTCTGTATGATCAAAGCAGGGCAGCATCCTCTGCCGAGGGCTTCTAGGAGCACGTTGCCTGGTGTTACCCTTCAGCTAGGCATCCTCTTCTTTCATTCTCCGAAGGCGTGTGCCTCTGTGCTCGCTGCATGTGGGCTCCTGCGTCAGCTTTGCTTCCCAGTGTACTTAGCCTCACTTGACACCATTGTCTACATTCTTCATTTACTGTCTGCTTTTCATGCCAGAGTGGAAACTACTTGAGAACAAGAGTCTGCTCTTGGCGAGAGCTGGAGCTCCATAAGTGTCTGTGCAAAAATAACCATGTAAAAATAACCTTCACGGAAGGTAAACATTTATCGAGGTATTTACTATGGAAAATCATAAAATTTATGTGTGTAACAAGCCATACAAGCAGTCAAAAGTTTGCCTTTAAGCCTCCCTACATTCCATAGCTTTCCACAAATATCTACTGTATAACTAAAAGTCAACTCAGTAATTCCAACCAGGAAATTATCATTCCTTTAGAACCTGACCCCCAGTCGTTTGTCCCGCTGATTAGGTTTTGGGCTCCTTTGTGTTCCTGTTGGGAGAGGTTCCCTGAGCCATACTTTGGATACTGAGCATCCTGCTCTCTTCTTCTGATATGA